TCGGATACGCCGATCGGCCCCAACTGCTGCGAATAATTCTCCATTTGGTGCTATTCGTAAACATCGTGGTGGTGCTTTGAGCTGGAAGAAATGAGTCCATTACCTTTCAATACACAATCCAACCGTCCGTGAATTCATTAGCACATGCCAATAAGATTTTGCTAAGGCACTAAAATTGTCCTGCACTGACTATGTCAAGTGAGATTGTCAGTAACACAAACGCCGAAAAAAAAATGTTTCAACTTTTCATAATTCATTTCTGGCAGGGACTGAAGCCTCGCCAAGTGAAAGCACTTGTCAAAGAAAGTGTTGAGCCGCTAATCCATTCAAGACGAAATGTAAGTCAAGGTTACCACCAGAAGCTAAAAAAACAGAGTGTGAAGTAGAACTGATTTGAGTATTTCAAGCATAATCCATTCCCTATAATTTTGGAACTTCCTATAGACTTCGATATCAACGAAAAGAGTCCCTTTATGTCTCAAACCTATTAGGATGAGGAAACCAAAAATATGCAACAAAGCATTCAGCCCAACACTGGATTCCATTCCTCTGATGACTATTGTTAAATGTACGCCGATTCAATTGGCGCGAGTCAACGAACCGATGTATTGAATAAACAGAGCATTCATTTGCAGGATAAAAATCCACAGTTGGATTAATAGAACAGCAAAGCCGTCCCGATAATTAGCGCGAGGATTCCATATCACAAATGTTACTGGGGTATTCCCAAGTGCTGGCCATAACTATGCTAGGTCCTTAATCCTAAGCTGCATAATTCCAGTCAGGCACACACTACCCATTCAATATAAGCATCTCATGACCATACAAAGAAAATAATTGGCAAACACACGGGCTGCCCGTGCGAAGATGCGGTTTTTGCGTAGTTCAACGCAGTTTTTGTCGCTACCGGCACTGGTTTTTTTCGGCAAATGCTTCTAGGTAAACAAATTAAGAATGGCCGCAAGAACTGTCGGGAAACACCCCCTTAAAGTTTCAGCATCCTAGCTTTTCTGGCTCCTGAGTTAGCAACTTACTGGAAAACTTTCACAAGCCTGTACGTGAGTACGACGCATGCCCGATGCCTCGATTTGAATTCGTTGAGACATACGTGAGCGGAGAACATCCTTCTAAAATTAAAGTCTTCCAGCTTTTCAGGTTCTCGAGATAGCAACTTACTCAAGAGAAATTTTGGTGAGCTCGTGCGTAGGTACCACGCATACCCGGGGGCTGGGTTTGAGCTGAATGAGACTTAGGTGGACAGGGAATATCCTCTTAAAATTACAGTCCTTTAGTTTTTCAGGTACTCGAGTTATCAGCTTACCAGGAAAAAAAAATCCACGGGCTCGTACGCAGATATCAGCTTATCCGGAGGCTGGGTTTGGAAATATCAATGCCTACTTGGACGAGGAACATCCTCTTAAAATTTCAGCTTTCTAGCTTATTAAACCTCTCAGTTATCAACTTACCCGATAAAAAATTTCATGGACTCGTACGCGGGTACCGCGCTTACCCGGGGGCTGGGTTTAAGCTCATTAATACCTACTTGGACAGAGAACATCCCTTAAAATTTCAGCCTCCAAACATTTCTGGTTCCCGAGTTAGCAGCTTACCCGTAAAAAACTTTGGCGGGCTCTTACGTAGGTACTACGCGGGTGAAACTGCCCATTCTGGGGACTGGGTCCGTACGTGCATGTAGATTAAGTTCCCAAAGTTTCAGCCCTGCAACTTTTGTAAATCTTGAGATGAAAAACCGCAACAGACGCACACACAAACAACCTTTCGTCAATATGCGTTTTCTGTATCGCATAACTGCAAAAAACGCATAATAAAAACAAAGCGTCACTTTAACAAATTCGTAGAGGTCAGTGTCTGTTTTGTACTTCCACTTCACATTACTTGGAAATTCGTAATCGCATTTTGGCCCGGACCAATATTCCAACATTCCCATAACATCGACAGAAATAACACAGTCAAAACGAGAGTTGTACTGCAAAAACCGACAATACTAATTACTAATGCTGCATTATCAAAGAGACTTCCTCGATTTGGGTATCAGATAAAACACGAATGCAGCAAAATACAGTGGTGTATGATGCATAAATGAAACAGTGTTACTGATTTTTTTAAGGCTTACTTCGATAAGCTTTATGGGCTTCGAATGAAGTTTATCCAAAACATGCAGTGATTTATCTTCGCCTTTGCCGTCGTAGATGAATATCTTCCCGGATTCTGAATCTGAGATGGCTAGCGCATGTACAACATCATTCCCTAAAACAGCAACTGGACTGGAACAGAGGTACCGGCAATAAACGGAATGCTCAACAAAGAGGAATTTGATATGCCACTGGCGAACATAATAGATACAAATTAATGCATTGTTAATAATGTCACACTTTCCAGACAAGAGCGGGAGAGGGAAAAAGCCATCCATTTTTCATTCTGCTAGAAATGAAGCACCAAAGTCTTCAATCCGGATGCAAAAATGAAAGAAACTAAGGGAAAAGGCGAAATATTCAGCAAAAAATGCTGTTTAGGCTCGGCTCAACAGCGCAAAACGTATTTACTTTTTGGAAAAGATATGTTCGCTTGCGGGCTAGGAACAAAGTTATGAAAATTATGGTTGGTACATAAACATCAGATTTTCGTGGACTATTAAAATTCGGCCTGGCCGAAACGGGATAAAGTTACGATTCTCGTGCCACGCCTACTCGGGGTATAAGTGGAACTGAATTAAAATTCCAATCTCAATTTTAATAGTGTGCAAGGAGCAGAGGTGTGCAGGAAAAGGAGAAGGGATACGAATGCTTATTTAGGTTGTAGGAGTTGTAACGGAAGGGAGAAGACTGAAATAATCACTGGGAAAGAGCTGAAATCCTGCCTGGAGATAAGAATTCAAGCTTGTTTCGGCCAGCTTTCATTTGGCATCAATTTCTTACTTAGCACTACAAACGCATAATCGAAGAAAATAATTTTTAATTAACTAAGGGAACAACGACGCCAAAGCCAGGCTGCAACGATTGAAGCACGGGCGACGATCGCATAAGAGCCAGGAAACCAGCGTACTCGGAATCTTCAAGCACCAACAGCTTCGTACACAAGCAGGCTAACGTGATGGATCTTTTGGTTTTATTGAAATTTCGGACTGAGAAAGTAGCCGTGTAGCTTGTATTCCAGTCGCACGACTACTTTCTCCCTTCAAAATCTCAGTGAAACAAAAAGCCAAAACAACGTCCATCTGTGATTTTCGCAGCTCTCATTCAAGCCTGCAGACAAGTATCTATTGTATGGCTGAACAAACTTCTAGTAGGGGTCCAGTTATGGCAATGGTAAGAAATGTATATGACTTAATGGATCGAAACACTTCTTAAATTATGATAATCTCACAAATTTCCCAACTTTCATTTCTTACCTTTTCCTTTTTTCTTGTTATTACTTTCTATTCTAATAATTACTGGATTTTTAGCCTCGATGGACTTCTGGAGAGCAAGTACAAACTACCAACTTTCATTTAGTGCGACATAATTAACCCATGTAACCCGTAATTCCAGCCTCCGCCTCCAATTTTTGTCCCCAAGCGACACTTCCGATTCTGTTCAATCGACATTCCAGATTCCTTTTCTGCTACGATCCCGCGATGCAGCCTTTCCCGCCCTCCCCCTTCCTTCCCCCCCCCCCTTCCTCCTTCTCCCAATACAAACTCTAATCTATCATTCAAAGGACGCAACTCCATTCTCTCAAATCCTCTCTCAACCGGCTGAGCCCAGCCAAGCGTCAGTAATTGCCGCATTTAGCTCGAAAAGTGCAAAAGCTTTCATAAAAGTTGAAAAAATTGCTAAGAAAGGGAAAATTCAACCAATAGAGCAGAGGGATCCACCAGAAAGAATACATACGGGCACAAAAATCAGCAAGGCATCATTTCTGCCCAACTCTGTGCAGCAGTTTCACAAGCATACTTTTTCGAGAAAAAAACGAAGCGATGAAATAATGAGGCAATGCGGCTCCTCACCCTGGTGTATCCAGGCTGCTGTTTTTGGTGCAAAATCGGTACTCAGCATGTTGATCATATCGAAATTTGGAATATCAAATATTTTTACAGATTTGTCATGCGTACATACGGTTGCCAGCAATGTTCCATTGTGATTGATGGCCAGATGAGAAAACGCATCTGAAAGGACGTTCAGCTGCTGAATGTGCTGAAGGAGCAGCACGCGTGTTAAACAATCCAAAAAAAACAAACAAACAAAAAACAAGTAATTAAATTCAGCTGAAGAATGCTGATCGTCCTACAGGCGTCGTTGTAACAGTAAGCTAGCAGTACTGGCATAAAAGCAAACGATCATATCGGCAGTTTCAGAAGGGAAACGCAAATTTAAGGAATAAGCAGTAGAGCGGTGCAACTCAAAATCGATAGGCTGACTTATTCTTGTGTAATTTATACTTTTGTAAATTCTGCCTGTCTTCATCACAGCAGCAGATCAATTAATTAGCAAAAAACTTATGGATTTTATTCAACGGGGTGAGCATTTCCACTAATGAAATCAAAAAAAAAAATTGGCCAACGCACGGGCTGCCCGTGCGAAGATGCGTTTTTTGCAGAGTTCCC